GAGCTGGGCCCAATGTTTGGCGATGGGTCTCTCAACCTGCCTCCATCAGTCACTGGATAAAGGCTTTCTGATGACAACCTGGGTAGTCACTAATCCGATCACAGGGATGGCCACTTCAGGCTATACGTCCACTGCTGTCAGGAGTCTTAGCTGGAAGGCCCTCTAATCTTAAAGTGCTTTATGAATTACTGGATACTATCTTTTAGGCCTTAATGTTCTTCATTAAACCTTTTGTCTTAGTGTTTTTGTTGCTGTGAAGAGACACCATGACTAAGAGAACTCTTGCAAAGGAAAACATTTAATTGGGGTTCACAGGTTCAGTTCATTATCATCATGGCAGAGAGCATGGTAGCATGAAGTCAGACATGGTACTGGAGAAGTACCTGGGGTCCTAACCTTGCAAGCAACAGGAAATGGTCTGTCTGTTACACTGAGGGAAGCTTGAGCTAAAGAGACCTCAAAGCCTGCCCCCACAGTGGCATACGTCCTCCAACAAGGCCATACCTCCTATGCCATTTTCTATGAGCTTATAGGGGACAATTAGATTCAAACTGCTGCACCTTTATCACGCTGCTACCTGTTCTTGGGAAGTTATGACAATGCTAGCAGTCAGACCAAGGTCAAGGCGTCTTCTCTGATCCCCTAAGAAAGGCTCCCATGTCCTTTCATTGATATCATGCTGTAGATGAAGCTTATTTTTCTTTGTTTTGAAATGTCTTTATACTGAAAAATGCTCTTCTTCCAAAGACTCCTATCCAACCGTAGAGAGCAGGACAGTGGCAGGTGTCCTCTGCCTGGGGACCTCCAAGTCTTCTCGGTGTCATTTGCTCTTTAAATTATAAACACTGACTCTAGATCTTACCCCCATAAAGGACTGTGAAAATCCATTATTTCTCCCAATGTTTTCAGCTATTTTGGGGGACTAACAAGGAAACAATAGAGGAAGAAAGTGGCTGGGGTTTCTGTTTTGCCGAGTTATCCTGGGCTGGTGTCTGACTTTTATGAATGGCGACTCTTCTCACTGTGTTGCCATTGCACTGAATTCTTATTACTTCCAAGTAGTAATAATGCAACGTGTCAAGATGCATAGATTGTTTTAAAGTAAAATTGAAAACTTTTTATAGAATCCACAAGGGCAGGCACTAGGGAGCTCCTACTGGATATATCTTCTGACGTATACTTTCTATTTCCTGTTCATTGACATATCACTATGACCATATAACCTCTTTATATGTAGTGTTCCCTTTTTGACTACCAGGGATTTTTCTGTCAAAGACAAAATTGTATTTGATTCATGAGGTCAGATGATTTTTAATGCCCTTGCTCTTTCTACCATCTAAGAAAAAAATACGAAAGGTTTGTGTTAGTATTGTTTGGGCTGCCATAACTAAGCACCTGAGATTGAGGGATTTCAACAGCACAATTTCATTGATTCTAGAAAATTGAAAATATGAAATCTGGGTACCAGGAAAATTAGATTTCAAATCTTTTAAGATTAATATAATTACAACATGTCTCCTTTCCCTTTGTTCCTTTCTTCCAATCTCTCTCATATACCCTTCCTTGTTCTCCTTCAAATTCATGGCCTCTTTTTTTCACTAATTGGGACTATATACTTATATATTTCTAAATATAACCTGTTAAATCTTTATATGTATGTTTTCATGACTAACTATTTGTCACTGAACAACCATTTGGTGTACCCTTCTCTGGGAAAGATCTCCCACTCCCAGCTTTTCTCAGTTGTCTGTACTATAGTTCCTTGTGTAGAGTGGAGAGATGGTGGCCTTTTTCTCATCCAATCTGGTATGTCAATTGGTGTCATCCTCATTCAGTTCCTGTCTGGGCAATCATGTTAATAAGACTTTATGGATTTAGTCTTTGATGTTACTACATGACAGAATCTCACATCAAACTCCCTGATTATGTGGCTCTTACAATTTCTCTGCCCTTAGGTGTGGTTTTGGTTTGTATGCTTCCACTAATACTGTGCTCCACAAATCCACACTTTTGAGTCATTGTGGTTTTCTATAGTGGTCTCTGTTGCAAAGAGAAGTTTCCTTGTTGTGGGGTAAAGATTACACTTGTCTGTAATCTGGAAATGACATTAATGTCCCCTCCCTCCCTGAGGACTAATTTTTGCGGTGCCAGAAGGTACCATACAAGCTTCCAAAAGAGGAAGGAAACCAATAGTCCTACCGAGCTATGATGCCAATGAACCACACCAACCAGCATGGCACCATAACCTTAAGGGTTTAAGAGTGGCACATAAATCTTGGTGGAAAACAAAAGCTCTTTAATTATACTTAAGACCCATTTGACGGGAGGGAAACCATACCTGGTACTAGAAACCTAGTTTTCAGTGTTGGTGAGATCATGGCTGCTGGAGGAGAATCTGCAACCCCTAATTTATTAACCCAGCATAATCCCAAACAACAGCTATACACAGCCATTCTTATACCAGCAAATTTAGGTTTTTGTGATAGCACTCTTGGCTTTTAGGTGGCTGATTTCTTCTGATGCCTTTATATGACATTTCCTCAGATCTCTGGTGTCTATATAAGTTTCTCTCCCCTCCTTCCACCTTCTTTCTCCCTCCCTCCCTGTCTTGCCTTTTCTTTCTTTCTTTCTTTCTTTCTCTCTCTTTCTTTCTTTTTTTTGGATTTTCAAGACAGGATTTCTCTGTAGCTTTTGGTGCCTGTCCTGGAACTAGCTCTGTAGACCAGACTGGCCTCGAACTCACAGAGATCCACCTGCCTCTGCCTTCCAAGTGCTGGGATTGAAGTCATGTACCACCAACCGCCTGGCTTTCCTTGCCTTTTCTCAATGTCTCTCTGTCTCTTTTTCTGTCTCCACCCCTGCCCCCCTCTATGCGTGTGTGTAAAATTGTTTCACAGTGTAGCCTAAGTTGGCTTCAAACTCACTAGCTCAGGCTGGCTTTGAACTCACATTTTTTCTTCATATTCTTGAGTGCTAGAGTTATAGTCATGTGCCTATAGTAGAGTCTCCTTCCATGAGGGTCAGACTCTTCTATTTTCATCTGAACCTAGTATCTTCAAAAGCTATATTTCCAATGTTATCATCTTAGGACTTAGGACTTCTGCATTAGAATTTAGAGGTAGGATATTTCAATCCAAATCAAAGAGTTAATTTGATTAATACTATAAAGCAACATCTATCACCCACTTGTCTGTCATCTATCCATCATCTATCCATCCATCTATCTAATAATGATTTGTTCATGCAGACATCTATGACTACTATAATTTGGTTGAAGAAAAGCTTCTGCAGAACAGAATTACCTCCCTTTCCTGATGGCCATTATTTAAAAAAGAATAACTCTTACAGAATTTTTTCTGGAGTTTCTAAATAAACTCTCCAGTTTCATCATATATAAAGATGCTAATGAGGCTCTTTTCAGTCATAGAGCACTGTTAGTCATGGCATGACCTGGCTTCAGAATCTTATAAAATGTCCTCACCTACTGCTCCTAATTGAGCATTTATATATGAGAGCCTGGGTGACACTACTCAGGACACTTGAAAACACTTCTCAGAGTGCAGAATTAGAATGAAGTTCATTGCCACCAAGTAGGGAAAGAGAGGGAGGAGCTTGGGGGTTTGAGTTCCCAGACCAAGCACAATAGAAAGGACCCACTGTTGTGTGGTCTGAAGGATCCCCTGCTCATCTGTAGATGATAACATTTCTGAAAACTAAATGCAGAATCTCATTTAGCAACTGGCTGGGCTACAATACCAGGTGAATTCTCTGTTGTTCAGGGACACGCTATTAAAGTAAGGACACTGGAAGAACAAATGAGATTCTAAAGTTGGAATGGCTAAGTACGGTCAGACTTTGAAAATCTGAAAACAATGAGCCCTGAATTCTGATGGGTCTACTATTTTCAGGGGAGGAGGTCTCTCTGTCCCCAGTGGGGCCCAGCTATCTGTGTGAACAATCCCTTGCTTTAAAAGACTCTGATGGCCTTTCCTGAAAGAGCCATCCTGCTTTCCTGTGTCAGACACTCCTGCTTCTTATCAGGACATGCTTCTACCCACCCTCTTGTTTCTGTACTATAACTGGACTTTACTGACCACAGGCCCCAACTTTATGGTAAAAAAAAGGTCACTCAGGAAGTTTCTTAGAATACATAAAAAGTATGTGAGGTCCAACACTATGTGCTTCCAAAATTAGCCCTTATCCTCAATATCCATTTCCATGCATATTCTCGAGGTTTTTGTAGTTACAGATTAGAAAGTTCAGGTGCACACACATGCAAAGAAAACACCGTGCAGCTGAGCAAAATGCAGAGCTTCAGAGTTGACAGAAAAGCAAGATTTTATCAAAGGCATCAAAGAGGAAGAGGATTAGAAAACTGTGCTTGGCTTGGAAGACAGAGAGGGGAACTGAGAGTTCTTTTTTTTTAAACACAATTCACTTTGGCCACAGAGGGTGAAATTGACTCCCAGTACTGACAAAGCTGTGAGTGCAGGCATGTGTGTGAGAGAGAGCTCTGCAGCTTCTTTCAATACAGTCTAGTTTGCCATATTTTCTATTAGAATATGCACGTGACTACCCTTCTCTGACTTCTACTCTTCTCTCTAGCTTTGCTTCCTACTTCAGCAAGTATTGGGCAAACATAGTACACGTATCTTCAACACAAATGTGCGGAGAAAAAATATTAGCATATGAGAAAATTGATCCGTTAAGTAGTAAGCTGTGGGATGAATTGACAATCATACATTGGAATACTATAATCGATGACAAAATTGTATAGTTTAGATGAGATTTATTTCTTCACTCCCAGAAGGTTTTGATATAGTCTTGACATCTGGCTTGTTTTCATTTTGTTTTAAAAGAGAATGAGTTCTTTGAAGGTCCTGCATGCCCTTTATCTCTGGTGAGTGAATTAGACAGCCAGCACAGGTTAGAGAATCAGCTGCTTCATCCTCATCTGGCTCCATCAGCTGGGATCTGTGGTTTTTGGTTAGATGTGTATGTCAGTCTGAGTCCTCAGATTGTTGTTGATCTTGTTGATAGCATGAGGAAGAAGTGACATTCAGATCTTTGGATGAATCTGAACAGGGCGTATTGTTCTGCACCTCTTGCTCTGAATCTATATTGGATAAACAAGTTATATATGTGTATGGAACCAAGCTCTGACAAGAAACAGGGTAATTATCTGGCCTTATGTCTTCTGACTGCTGGTCTTTTGGTTTTTGGCATGTATTTTCTATGTCTTCTGTGTCTTGGGGTTCCCTGTCTCTTGTTTGTACATCATCTGCAGCGTGCATATCTCCTCTTAAAACACCAGATTGTTGGTCGTTACCTTGACACAGACCTACTTGAAATACAAAGTTACACAATTGACGATCTTGGGTGTGTTGGACTATGGTGCTGCGGGGTTGGACTTCTTGATATAGTGCCCTTTGCCTTAAGGATTCTCTTTCTAATAGCTCTTGGGATTCCCAGTCCAAGGAAGGCTGTATTTCAAACTGCCATTCTTGTGCTTTCCAATCTTTGTTTCTCCAGCCTTGACTTCTCCAGTCCTGGGATCCCAGGCTAACAGGTTGCCAGGATGGAGTTGACCAATATGAACATGACCTTTCTGAGAATTGAAAGCTTTGGGAGTCCCAGTCCAAACATGACGGCATCGGGGTTCTCCTTACTAGCGCTTGCTGTCTTTCTTGCTGGCTATTCAGGACTTGCTGCTCTAGAGACTGCTCGTCTTCAGATGGTTGAACTTGTTCTTCTGGACGTGGCTTTTCATCACACTGCTGATCTTCCTCCTTGCTGTTAAGCTGTTCTCCTGGGTATAGCTCCTCTACAGATTTTTGGTCTTTGCTTTGCTCATCTTGGGGTTGTTGTACTGGGACCTCCTCCTCTTTGACCTGCTGCTGATCAGATTGCTGGTGGAGGAATAGCTCTGAGGTTTGAGTATATGCATCTTGTTTCTCTGTGGTGTGCTTCTTTGTGGATAGCCAGGCTTTGATTTGCTGATCTATGGATTTCCGTCTTGAAGTTTTCCTTTGTACGTCCACAGAATGTCTCCTTGGGGCTTCGTCACCTTTGATTTGTAGGTCCAGGGAATGTCTCTTCTGAGAGAATATTTTATGTTTGCCTGGCAAGGATAAGGAAAGTCTTCTTGGGGTTTTCTTGCTCATATTAGAGTTCCACTCTTCAGTCAGCTCCATGACTTCTGTTCTAATGTCTCTATAAAATATTTCTGGATCTTGCTGGATTTGAACTTCAGTGTTTAGTGCTTGAAGATCTGAAAATGACATGTCATGGGCCACTGTATCTAGGGTTTGTGTGCTTTGCGATATTTTTTCTGGAGATAGTACATCTTGGTATTTCAAATCATGCAATGGTGTTTCTTGAGAGGAAATCTCTTGTGATGGAGTTTCTTCAGATTGAGTCCTTTGGGATGGTATGTCTAGAGTTAATGTATCTTGGTGTGGGCTTTCTTTGGATGGAGTCTTTGGGGATGGAATTTTTGGGGATGGAATATCTTGGTATGGGCCTTCTTGGGATGGAGTCTTTGGGGATGGAGTCTTTGGGAATGGAGTATATTGGTATGGAGTTTCTTGGAATAGAGTATTTTGAGATGGAGTATCTTGGAATGATGTGTCTTTAGTTAGTGTATCTTGGAATGACAGCCCTTGGGATGGAGTCTCTAGGGATGGAGTCTCTTGGGAAGGTATGTCTTGAGTTAGTATATCTTGGTACGGACTATCTTCTGATTGAGTCTCTTGGGATGATATGCCTTGAGTGAGTGTATCTTGGAATTGCATGTCTTGGGATGGGGTTTCTTGAGATGGTATGTCTTCAGAAGGCAAGTCCTCAGATGTCAGATCATAAGACTGCGAAATATGGGATGATGGGGGTTTAGATTGTAAGACTTGTGTTGACAGAGCTGCCATTAATGTTTGGGATGATAAACTGTCAGGTAACAAAGGGGAGAAATTATGTGAAGATGGAGCTTTTAGAAATTTGGGTGACATATTTTGGTCATCAATCAATTTGGGTTGCAGATCAGAGGTTTGACGTGTAATAGATTCTAGGCCCTCATCATTCAGGTTATTGCTTCTAGACTCTTTTGGGGAAGGAATATTTTCTGAAGACTTTGGTGTTAATGGGGGAGGTAAAGCATCCAGTTTAGTTTCTTCCTTTAGGGAGGGTGGAGGAATAGTCTCCTGCTCATCTGGAACATGCATAGAAGATGTACCCTTATCACTTTTCTGTGAGATATTTTTGGGAGCTGAAGGATTTCTTAAGCCTCTTAACTTGTAGAAAGCATAACCTCCTAAGAAAATGGTTGTTACATTTGAAGTTGTATTATCACTGGGAGATTTTCCTTGAAACTCAAACTGTAATTGATTATTTTCTTCTGGCACAGGCTGTTCAGTATTTTGAGGAACTTCTGAAGGGAAGAAGAATACAGCCTATAATACCAAGGGGAAAACAGAGTGTTAGTAGGCCACAGCTGTCTTTTTGTCATTTTCTTACTGTATTCTCATACTATCTTTCCTCTCTCGTGTGCACATGTAAGTAGAGGGAGATGAAGCTCTCCAGCCTTTGCTGTCTGTTCATCAGTGTTGATTTGGATGAGTCACTATTCATATATCCTAGATACTGAACAAAGAAATTTGATCAAAATTGCCTTTTTTCATACTGAATAATACTAAATTTTCTAAGACATTTAAAGTATCCAGTTAATATTCATATATTTACAATATCTAGTTAATGTTCATATACAAATGTCTACTATTTGATTTGTTAATTATTTAGATGAACTGAATGTTGGTGATTAAAGACAATCAGAACTCACCCTTTAAGTGCTGAAAATTATAACCAGAATAACATATGAGTAGATGATGATAAAAATCACCCAGTATGATGCCTACTATTGAAATAGGTACTAGGTTCTGAGGAAGAAGTTAATTTACAGTATCATTTAAAAGAATGATACATTCAAGAAAAATCTCTATCCAAGAAGATGAAAGACTTCTACGTTGAAACCTCCAAAATATTGCTGAATGTATTTGTAAGAAGAATTAGACAAATGGAGATCTTCCCCATGTTTATTTATAACAAGACAAACGTGTTTAAAAAATCAATGCTATGCAAAAATGTAGTAATAAGAGCCGCGGGGCTGTGTCCCCAACACCCCAGCCGCCTGCTAGCTTATGCCCGAAATAACAACACACAAATTGTATTCATTTAAACACTGCTTGGCTCTTTAGCTCTAGCCCTTACTGGCTAATTCTGATATCTGATCAACCCATCTCTAATAATCTGTGAGCACCGGTTTTACCGGGAAGATTCTAGCCTACGTCCATCCTGGGTCGGAGCTTCATCGCGTGTCTGCCCGGGAGCAGGGCATGGCGTCTCTCTGAGGCGTCTGCCCCTGAGAGGTGAGCTGTCGAGTCTGAGCTCACTTCCTCTTCCTCCCAGCATTCTGTTCTGTTTTCTCCACCCACCTGTGTTCTAACCTATGAGGGCCAGCCAAGCAGTTTCTTTATTTTTTTTAACCAATGACCTTCCTCCATCACAAAAATATACAGATTTAATGCTATCCGTGTCAAAATAAAAATATCCTCATTCTCAGTTATACATAAAACATATTTCAAACTTATATGGACTCTTAAGGAGGCCAGAATAGCAAAACTATTTAATCAGAAGAATATTTGGTGATATAATAGTTGCTTATTTTGAAACTTCAATAAAGTTATGGTAAGATAGACAGGTAGATAAAATAGAGGACCCAGAAACAAGCATGATATAAATAGTTCATTGAGTTTCAACAGTGATGCCAGGATCACTCTTTGTGAAAGGACAGTCTTTTTTAACAATCAGCACTAGGAAAACTGTTTAGCCACATGCAAAAAATGGATTGAAACTTTACCCAATACCATAGACAAACATCAGTTCACATTGGATAAAACATTAAAGCCAAAAAGTGTGTACTTTGGTGGGCCCTATCCTCCTTAATTCCTTTAAAGAGTAGTGCTGGAATGGTGCTACCCACATTCAGGATATATTTTACCTACCCTTTCCTTTCTGAAAACATTCTCACAGACAAACCCAGAGATCTAAAGTCATCTAGGCTCTTTGTAATCCAATTAAGATGGCAACCGAGATTAGTTGTCACAGTTGGATTTGGTGGCAGTTTCATGGGTAAGACAACAAGAGAGGAATGGGGAGAAGGTTCATTTGACAAAGAGCCTGCTGTACAAGGCAATTCTGAATTAAGATGGCCAGAAGTCATGTAAAGCATGCCAGTGTGTTCTTGTTACTCTAACAGGTACAGTGAGAGATTCAGTCTCAAACAAACATAGACTGGTCCAATTGAAGAAAAATATACAATGCTGACCTTTGGCACAAACATTGTGCATGAATACACATGCACACGCCACATACACAATATCACAATATACTCAAGCATATAATAACAAGAGAATGAAAAGAATACAGAAATCAGATTTGATAAAAATATGCCTTTTGTGCATTGAAGCTACTTTCCAGAATGTAAAAAAGATTAACAATCTGAAGGGACAGGGTGGGATGAAATATTTATATATCATATGTCTGATAAGAAATTACCAAACTGTATATATAAAACATTACAGTTCAACAACAACAAATGAGAAACCTAATTAAGAAATGGGCATGGGTCTATAAAAATCTCTTGTTCAACCTCTTGATCTACCTCTGCTAAGAGGTGTATGAAAATCGACATTAACCTTTGGGATGGTGGGGTTGAACTATATCTTGATTGTGATGGTCATTAAGTAGATACGTGTAATTTGTCAAAACTTGTCGTACAGCATACTTAGAATGAGTGTGTTTGATTGTTTAAAGTTAAAAGCAAGCAAGGAAGCAAGCAAACACTGTAACTGGAGATGTCTCATTCATTTCTGGTCACCCAGATCTGAATAATCACGTAGAAACTATATTAATTCCATCTCTGTTTGGCCTCCTAGCTCAGGCTTCTTATTAATTAACTCTTACATCTTAAATTAACCCATTTCTATTAGTCAGTGTATCACCACAAGGCTATGGCCTACTGGTAAGGGTTCAGTGGCATCTGTCTCCTTTGGCAACTACATGGTGTCTTCTTAGCTCTGCCTACTCTCTCTATATATCTCTGCTTGACTTTTCCACCTGGCGTTATTCTGCCCTGCCATAGGCCGAAGAAGTTTCTTTATTAACCACTGGTAATAAAACATATTCACAGCATACAGAGGGGAATTCCACATCAAAACACTGTCAAGCACAGTCCATACTGCTGTCATGACTCAGAAAACACGGCCAGGAGCAGCACCACACTAGTCAGAACAAATCCCATGTTCTGTCATACCGGAGATGTTAGTTAATCCCTGTGTTAAATCTTAATTCATTTTGATGTAGAATAAGGGTGTTGTTATATATTAAAATGGTTATTATGTTGACACTGAGTGAGTACAATATTGTTTGACATTCTAAATGATCAGTAAGGGTATATGCTCCCAATGTCACAGTGCTATGGATTTTCCACAAAGTCCCATTTTTTTTTATTATTTTCAGGATGATAAAGAATTCTATATGAACAGAGATGACTGAGGACAGCAGATAATTCAAGAATGGAAAGCAAGTTATCTTAACGTGAGCATCACTCTTAAGCTTGGACCCCTCTGATCTTCCTAATTTAGGAGTTTCAGTGTGGCATTTGAGCATATTGCCTCTGCACAGAAAATAGATGCCAATGTAGGGTGATGATCTCAGTGTGGATGCAGTAGTAGCAACCTCTATGCTATTTTTACCCTTAGAGGGAGGAAGCTTGTAGGCAAGCTGGCCTGGAGTATACAGTAGTGAACAGCAGGAGAGACCTTTTCTCAAAACAAAGGTGAGGATCAACATCTGTGGTTGTCCTTCTCTCTCCACACTCACACTATGCACATACACACAGGAACACACACGTGTATACATACGTTCATGCGCACACACAGACATTCAATTCTCATGATAATCTTGGGCGCACCTTTCTTGAACTGGTCCAGCAATTGCTTCTGAAGAATGTAATAGTCACAGAGATGCTGAACTCCACTATGGTGATGATTAATAAAATGGACAAAATTCCCTAAAAATAAGAAGGAGAAAGAAATCATATTTAGGACAGAAGCAGCATCACTTTAAAAACAGAAGCCAAGAATACTTTAGACCCTATGACCCAGTTTGGGAAAACTTATATTCATGCTGTTCTGTAGCTATTAAACATTGCATCATTTTCATGTCTTTCTGATGAGGAGTGGGTAACAAACTCCAGTATCAGTAGGGTTAAGATAGTCTCTAGAGTGAAACAAGGAAGGACACAGTAGAATGCAGTAGCATTCCTATAATCACTTGCCATTTAATTACAAAACCTTGTTTTGTTTCCTGTGTGAGAATACAGTACCCCAATGCCTGCTTTTACCTGCCCCAAGGTAGCTGGGGATGCCCATGTTTTGGAAGTGAAAGTTTCAGTTATGTATTCACCTATGTGTCAACTAAAACAAACCTACAAGATGGATCGAGTACCCATATTGACATTTTGCTTCAAGATGGATCGAGTACCCATATTGACATTTTGCTTCAAGATGGATCGAGTACCCAGATTGACATTTTGCAGGCGCTACTTTAAGGTAGTGTCTTCATTGAGAGGTGGGAGGGTGCAGTGTGGTATTCTAAAAGCTTAAATACTGAGGGCAGCAAAAGCTGGGTACAATTGTGCTCAAGGTCACACTTACCCGGGAGCGTGAATAAAGCTCCCTGCCTCTCAGTTTCTTTTGAACACCTGCAGAAGCGTAGATAATGGCCTGGAGTGTGTACACACCCCGCTGTGTTAAGTCCCTTGCTGTCTGCCTTCCAGCAGGAGAGAACTGGCCCCAGTCCTTATAAAACTTCCATCTATGCACTTGGATCAAGAAGGGCAGGATTTTATTCCCTATAATTGTTTTCTGACTCTCCTTAGGAACCCAAGTATAATTTGGGACTTTATCTCAGCACACTCAGGGAGGTCCTTTAGTTTACTTCAACAGATGATTACAGGAATTAAATCACAGGAGATAATTTCCCATGATTCTATGTCACTTTTGTTCTTATTGGTTCAAATTTTCAAATTCTAGGATCCAAGTCTTCAAGATGTTGCTATCAGAAACAGATTAAAAGTCCAGAGTTTTCTTTGGGACCAGAAGAAAAGGCCCATTGGCATCTTTGACATGATTGAAAATGATGTTAGGGCTGGCATGGTGACAGCACTTTGGTATCAAGCCTGACAGCCTTAGTTTAAGCCTCAGGATCCTCATGTTGAGAGGAGATAAAGAACTCCTGTAAGCTGTTCTCGAATGTTCACATGCAAGCTGTGGCATTGTGGACCACACATACCTCAAGTAAATGAATGTAAAAAATCATTAAAATAATTTAATGTCATGTATTGCTTATATGATAGATTCTTAAAACCTTAATTTTAATTAGGAGCTGGAGATAGTCAGAAATTTTGAGCACTGGCTCTTTCCTGGAGGACCTGGCTTCACTTTCCAGAATCCACACAGTAGCTAATAAACATCTGTAATTCTAGTCCCAGAGCATCTAGTACCATCTCTTGGCTTCAGAGACACTAGGCATGCACATGGTACGTAGTCCCACATTCAAGCAAAACACCCCCACACATACAAAAATGAATTAACAAAATAAAAACCACATGTATAATTATATTTCCTCATAAATTAATATATCATATACTCTACCAAGTAAAAATTTACAATGATATGAAATGGCTTGTATATTTAAAAGATTGCGACTCCTCACTTTCTCCCACCATAGTTTGTTTTATACCAATAGAGTAACTTTTTGATTAGCAAAAAGTAAACTCTAATACAATTGAAGTAATAATAGTTATAATATAGCTATTGAGTATTTATACTTTGTCAAGAATTATTTGAAGTAATTCTTACCACAGGTCAATGAGGCAGCTTTTATATTAATATCTTAAATTTTTACAAGAGAAAACAAGCCAAGATACGGAGGCTGTACAATGTTACACCAAGCTCACAAGCTCCCCGGAGTTATAAGTACGATTAAAAATCAAGAGACTGTGGTTCTAAAAGCAGCTATACTTGAGGTCAGGGGTAAAAAGCAACTCATCATTGTGCTGTGGACATAGCCTGGTGGCTAAGGTCACACAGACTCCTCATCCAGAATCAGGTCACTCACAAGGAGAAGCGTTCTGCCTACGACACACGTTCCTTCGAGGGAGGGCGCCTGGCAGAATTTGTGCTGCTGTGTAAAGCTGATGAGGATCAAGGCAATCCCAGCTAATGCAACCAGCAAGCTGAAGATATTCATGGTTGTGACTGCTGGTCTCTGGAAAATAGATTTAAGACATGGTAAAGTAAATAAAAACTAAAGCTAAAGATGCCTTGTAGGAAATTCTAGGAACTTTTCTAGTTCTAGAGGCTGCATCAGGTCCATGTGATTGGAAGGTCTGACAAGTTCAGTTCTGACTGGTCAAAGCCAGAAGGCAAAGCAAACTGTAGAATGGGCCAACAATGCCCTGTGTTTAGCGATCCTGAAATGTCCATCTCATCTCAACACAAATCATCTTTCACAACCTGGAAGGACATGGTGCCTTGGGAAATATCTCACCTTGGAAATCAGATTTGATTTTGAGTCCTGCTTTTATTAGAACTTGTACCAACTATTTAATCTGTCTGAGTCTCAATTTCTACCTTTGAAAACGAGAATGACTTAACTGTAATCATTTATTTTCTAAAAATTTAGTACATATATTAAATATATATCATTACCACATTAGGCCCCAGACATATATAGATTCATGTGCGAACTGACAGCTCACCATCTGGCTCACTTACATTCCCCAGTAATATTGAAACAATGACCAACGCAACTGTCTGGTTAAAGATGGTAAAATCTGGATTAGGGGTTAAAGTTGCCCTGTTTTGGTCTTCATGCTCCAACATGGGAGGTATAAAAAGCTGATTGCTCCACTTAGTTCCTTTTAATTTTTAAAATTATTTTATTTATTTTATGAGAATTTCATATGTGAGTATTGTGTTTACATCACCCCCCCACTCCAGCTTCTCCCGCGTTCTGTCTCCTCACTCCTCAAATTCATGACCTCTAATTATTAATGATTATTTTTTACATATATGTACATATAAATTTATAACACAACCTACAGAGTTAATTTAGTGTTGTTCATTTGTATGTTTCTTTAGGACTGAACACTTGAGATTAGATCATCTTTGAGGCTTATCCCTGAAACAAATTGATTGCCCCTATCTCAGCAGTCAGAGATTATAGTTCTTCAACTACCAGATTGTAGTTCTGGGGTGAAGCCTCATGATATTTATCATTCATATTGGCATGTCAGTTGGTGTCATTTTCAGGTCTTATTTAGGCAACCATGGTGTTGAGATCATGGGTTCAGATCCCCTGTCATAATGGAAGATGCAGTTGTACAGTAGATGCTCTGGCCCTTACAGTCTTTCTTACACCCTGCGAGCTGTCCCCTGAGCCTCCAGTTGTACTGTAGTTAGATCAGTGGGTGTTGGGCACCCTCTGTTTAATTCCTTTTATTCGTTCCCAGTACATTTGATGGGAGAAGTGGGCATGTCTGAGTTTCTTACAAGAGAGCTGTGTTGTGGGCATCATATTATTTCCTTCATCATCATTCTTAATTTTTAGAAAGAAAGTGTCATTCCAGAGTGTATCTGCTGTACCTCTGTGGGCTGTATCTTGTCTGCTAAGGTTGGAAATGAAGCCATGAGTTTACATTCCTGGAGCTGTGGCAAGCCTGGGAAGTGCACTTACAGCTATTCACCCTAAGCTGAGATCTTTATTGAAGAAGATCTTTATTTGGTTTTGGCAAAACAAACACACACACACACACACACACACACACACACACAAACCCTCAAAACCCAAAAAGACACAAAACCAAGGAGCATGCAAATCTGTCATACACTCTCCATATTAAGTCCTTTGGTCTCTCTAGTCTCTGTTTTGGCTTCCACAGGGAACGTTAACAGACTCAGGTCTCTGGATATATGACCCCTCAAGCAGATTGTGTCTTACAAAGAGCACACCCAGCCCTAGTCCCATCTGATCCTTATTATGGGATTGTCATGTCAGGTAGACCCTTACTGTCCATCATGTAAGGAATTAGGAACTAAGTGACTGTGGTCATCCCATCCATGCAGTCCCACCCCCATGCCTTCTTCCGTCTGTAAAGCTCTCCACGAGACATAGATAACCTTTGTGGATATCTCAGCTCTGGAAGAAGACAATATAGATGCTGTCAGCATCTATCTCCAGAGGAGCAGATGGAGGCATTCATTCCTCTCCCTAGGACCGCTCTAGGGTTTGTAACTATCCCCAGGAAATTGACAGAGAGCCATGAAAACGGATCCAGTGACTCAGAGAGGAAGCCCACAGCTCTAGGGCTTCCTGCAATGATTAGCTGAGAATAAGAATATTTACACAGCACCAAGCCTTTTGTAAGTATTATCTCAGTCCTCACAGTAGCTCTTAGGAATCTTCCTTCAAGTTGACAGAGCAATGAGAGCCAAGCAGCTCTGACTCAGTCCTACAACCAGGACAGGCAGAGAGAGGAATATAAAAAGTGACAGGAGACAGAAGCTCAGGATTCAGTCTGAGGTTTCATAGAGAAGGCATTCAGCATTCAGTCTAAGGACTTGTAGCGACGGGATACCCCATTCAGTCTGAGGATTTCATATAGGTATGAACTAGTGACTGGCTGCTCTGCTTCTCTCTGATCTTTCAACTTTCACCCCCCCTAGTATCTGACTCTGGGTTTTTATTATTAAGGTCAAGTAAAAATTGCACTACAGCCTCTGAACAAAGCACCTGTTGTCATTGGAGGCGGGGCTGGGGATAGAAAGTGAGGGTGACAGGGTTCGGGGGTGGGTTTGGTTCAGGTAGTGTTTTTCAACTTTGAGACTGTAGATGTTTTGTTCAGATGATTTTTCTATTGTTGTAGGAAGTCTTCCCATGTTCCCATTGGTTTAAAGCTTGCTTAGAGGGGGCTGAAGGGAAGACTCAGTGGTTAAGAGCTGGCTACTTTTGTAGAGGACCCAGGTTCAGTTTTACATAGTGGCTGATAAATATCTGTAACTCCAGTTTCAGGGGATCTGATACCCTCTTCTGGCCTCTTTGGGCAAAACACTCCTACACATAAAATAAAAACAAATTCAAAAACTATGCTTAGAGACAACCCTGGCTCTTACCCTCCAGCTGCCAATAGTACACCCCACCTAGTTTTGACAATCAAAAGAGATCTCGGATGTTGTGAACTATTCCCCGTGGAAAGAGAAGGAGCAAAAATCTACTCCCAATTAAAAATCATTTAACTACAGCAATATAGGATGGTTCCCAATGGGTAACTTTCAGTTCTCTTGACAAGAGAAGTGGGAGGAAGGGAAAGAACATGGGGCTAAATCATCCACAGGTTGGGTTTAAACCACAAATTTGATGTATAAAAGATCTTCCTGAGAGTTCGAGGCCAGCCTGGTCTACAAGAGCTAGTTCCAAGACAGGCTCCAAAGCTACAGAGAAACCCTGTCTCGAAAATAAAAAAAAAAAAAAAAAAAAAAAAAGATCTTCCTGAGAAACACTGAAGCTTAAGGCCAAAGCTGCTGCAAAGCAAATGGATTTTAAATCAGATAGAAGTGATTAAAACTACTTACCAGATTTCGTCTTAATTTATCATTGAACACTGTGATGAATCCTGTCAGAGAAAACTGTTGGGAAGACAAGAGGCAATGGTTAACAGGTGGCCCATCTAATCTGTCTACAACACAGTCTCCTCTGGGTTTTCAAACTGTCAGCGGTACTCCCCGTCCCCAGCATCTAGCTTTTCCAACCTGAGTGTTAGGGAGAAACATCCTTGTTTTAATTCCATCTATAGGGGTTGGTATCGGCACCTGGGTCTTAGCATCTAAAATCTGTATGCTGCAATACAGACACTGGGAAGCTTCTGCTGGCATTCCTCTGCTCCACCTGCCCCCCCCCACCTCCAGACTCCCTCATGCCCTCTCTCTTGGGGCCTCACAGTATCACCTTCCTTCTCTGGGCAACCACATCTTTCTAGTTGATGTTCCCAGGATGGCTGTCATCCTTGAATTCATTTCCCCCTCAAAAACCCACAGTGAACTCTAATGAGAACACACCTTTCAACAAAAAGAAGAAACACGGTCATCGGTAGACACCATTTGCCCTGATGCTGAAATGCATACAGCCATGTTTAATGCTGCCCTCTTCACAATAGCTAGAGGTGGAGTCAGCTCAGATGCCATTAGCTAACGAGCAGACAGTGCCTAGGTGCTTCCATGTTATGCCACGGCCGTGCATGCACTTTTCTCAGTTGTTTTCCCATGACACACCCTTAGCTAGTGCCTTTGGTCATAGCCAGGAGAAGCACCCATTCCTTTTGCTGCAGCTCGTGAGAATCCCTGTATGAAGTGCTTCTCTGCCCCGGGGCCAGGTGGGTCCTCCACTACACCCTCACACAGTTCTCTGGCGCGCTTCTAGGTGTAAGATTATCTGGCGCACTTCTCAGGAAGGGCTTTTCCCCACAGTACTTAGAGATCTGGAATGTTACCAAGAAGATGAAGTTGTGTGTTCAGTAAATGTCTTTCCCATGAAGACTGATTTGTTTTAATTTAAAAGGTCATTCTTTTTTCAATTTACATACCAATCGCAGTTCCCCCTCCACCCCTCCTCCCGTCCCCCCCCCACCTCCCACTTAGTTCCCCATCCACTTCTCAGAAAGGGTAAGGCCTCTCATGGGGAGTCCACAAAGTCTGTCTTGCCAGGTTGAGGCAGGACCCAGTCCCTCTCCCTAGAATTGAAGCTGAGCAAGGTATTCCTCCATAGGGAATGGGCTAGAAGAATTGATATGTTTTAAAAAGCAGTAAATCAAGTCCTACTAAACTTCACACCTGTGACTCTCACAACTTGTATTGGGAGAATTTGGTTGGACAATGGGGAGGTGAAGACTGGGTCCCTTTGTTTTTTTTTACATTAGGGTGAGTGCAGTTTAGGAAACGGAGGCAGAGACCCACATCGGAGCTCTGAACTGAGCTCCCAAAGTTCAGTTGAAGAGTGCAAGGAGTGAGTATATGAGCAAAGAGGTCAAGACCATGATGGGTTCACCCACTGAAGCAGTCTACCTGAGCTAATGGGAGCCCACCAACTTCAATCGGACTGGAAAGGAACAAGCATAGGACCAAGCTAGTCCCTCTGAATGTGGCTGACAGTTGCGTGGCTGGGGCAGACTGAGGGGCCACTGACAGTGGCACCAGGATTTATTATCCCTACTGCATGTACTGGCTTGTTTGGGATTCTATTCTCTTTGGATAGATACCTTGCTCAGCCTATATAGTAGGGAGGGCCTTGATCCTTCCTCAAAGCAATGTGCCTTACCCTTTCTGAGGATTGGATGGGGTTGGGGTGGGGAGTAAGTGGAAGGAGTGGGAGGAGGGGAAGAAGTGGAAACTTGGATTGGTAAGTATAATGAAAAAAATAGTTTGGTTTTTTTTAAAATAAATAAATAAAAAATGAATACTAAAAAACACAAAAAAAACAAACAAAAACAAAGAAATCAACTTCCTATTCTTTCATTGGGAAAATGAAATGTTATCATTTGTTTTGGAAATACAAATTATTGAAATGGCACAGAATGCTTATCAAAACACATGACTGGTTTTCATAGAGACAGTGGTCCCATTAGTCAATTCAGTTATTTGCTTATTGATTGATTGATCCGTGCCTTCAGTCATGCGTCTCATATCTCAAGCATGGTCCTAATTTCTGAGACAATCAAAGGAAGTAAACAGACCCGATTCTCATCCTCTTGTATGTTTTGATGTGAGACACCATAGTGAGTTTACTCTTAAATGTGCAACAACAGTTAAGAACCAAGCTGGAGGGTTCGGGGTTGTAATAGGAGCAGCGGGCTGCTTCCTGCCACAAGGCCGCCCGCACGGCTAGCTTTACCCGAAATAATTACATGGAAACTGTATTCTTTTAAACACTGCCTGGCCCATTAGCTTTAGCCTCTTAACCTGTTTCTAATAATCTATGTAGCACCATGAGGTGCGCTTACCAGGAAAGATCTTAACCTGCTTCTGTCTGGAGTGGGAGAACCATGGCGACTCCCTGACTCAGCTTCTTTCTCCCAGCATTCTGTTCTGTTTACTCCACCCACCTAAGGGTTGGCCTATCAAATGGGCCTAGGCAGTTTCTTTATTAATTAACCAACGAAAGCAACAGATTAGAAAGAAATCACTCCCGCATCAGTTCAGTGGAACTAGCATAGTACTAAGAACAAAATTGATGGCTCCATGGTCACCTGTCAGTGACAGTCCTAAACCCCTCTGGAACTAAGAAGGGTACTGAGCTATGATGACCCTCAAGTTTTCCTCCTCCTTGAGTCCTGTTCTTTGAGTGATAACTGCGTGAGTTCCTGTTCTCAGGCTACCGTGTCTGCATGTGGTAAAGTAGACTGTCTGCCTGCTTCGTCATCCAGGTTGGTACTGCGGGATGCACTCTACCCATGGGCTTTGGACAAGCACCTGGGGACAGCTGTTACTGTGAGGGTGGCAGACAACGACCAATGGGATAATACGGAATAATTTCTTTTACCGAAGGGTGGTTTGCCTGTTTTGTGTCTAGGAAGGGACACACTTAGGAAATTATTGTCAAAGAACTGAATGCAGTTCCCATCAGTCTTTACAGCAATTTCTGACATGTTCTTAGCATGTGGTACTTACAATAACTGCTCCCCAGAATGGATATCCTGTGAGGATCACGAGAGGAAATTTTTTGGAGAAAAAGATGAAATTCAATGCTAATATAATCCCAAGGCCCACAATGACCAGAGAAAGGAGAATCTGGGTGGCCTGGAAGGAGAAAATGAACATGAGGTAACAAGAGCCCAGGCCTCCCAGCTGCACACTACCCCAGTACAAAAATCTTCCATGTCCCCATCATGCTGAGTCCCTCCAAAAGTTAATTCTTCACTCGGGTCCTTTACTATTTCCCAAGATCCCCAGTATATCTTGTAGCAGACATAGTTGAATTCACGCGTGACTAAACCCAGATTGCAAACTTCTTAAGGACAAGTCCCCAAACTACTCCCTTACCCCCTTCCTCCTCTGTCACACTGGCATCTCCTGGTTATCCTCACACTTAGCCTCTACAATCAACAGTGCGGCCCATCCTTGGTTTGCATGGGAAAGTGGGTGGGAGGCTGGGTCCCAGAACAAAAATCTGAGGATGCTTAAGTCTCTTCCGTTAAAAATGTTATGTATAGATAATCTACACACATCCTCTTGTTTGTACATTGTTTTCCCAGACCGGATCTCCTGCATTCCAAATTGTGCTCAAATCATTAGGTAGCATAGGGTGATTGTAATCACCTGGCTCTCCTGCCTCCACCTCTCAATGCTGGGAGAACAGGCTTGCATCACCACACCCATCTCCTCCTGTATCCTTTAAATTGTCTCCTAGGGTGGTAGTATGCAATGGCCCATATACACAAGCACCAGAAGCCTTTAAGCATCATCTGCCTAGGAGTGAACAAAACACTTACTAGAATGTAAATGCATGAAGTAGCTGCTTATTACACTGTCTGTGGAATGTGTATAAGAAAACTTGCTGTACATATTCATTTTTTAAAATATTTTCATTCTGTGTTATTTGAGCCTATGCATCCTGAGACCTACACCTCACTGATGAACTTTGACCTCACCTTCCCTGACTTCTTAGTTTCTGTGAGAGGCACTGCCATAGCCTGGGGCCACTTCCTAAGAAGATTTTTGGAAAAATTACATAGTTTTCTGCTTCCCCTGTGTTGGAAGCCAGAGACCAGAACTAGTTCCCCATGAAAGAGCCATAGGACTTCCCTGGGGTTAGGTGAGTTATTAGACTAGTCACTCCTGAAAGCTCCTTAATCCAGCACCTCAGAAACATGTCTGTATTGACCACTGAGAGTTAACATATAATTCAGACAAAAGGCAAACTGCATTGCCCTTCTAAAGAGATCTTTTGTTTCTCTATTTTAATCAAAATCCTTGGAAATGGCTCATGATGACTCTTCTCTGAGGATCCATTTTTTCACAAGCCATTGGCTTAGATGTACTGCCTTTTCAGTTTTTGAATAGTTTGTACATGAATATAATATATGCATCACATTAACCCATTACTTCTTTTAGCCTGCTCGCATCCATACTGAACCTTTCTTTTCCCCAACTAATCCTTAATTTTCATGTCCTTTTTGGTAACTCACTGACTTTATTTAGAGTTACCTATATAAGCAGTAACTTATGTTATGGGGCTATTCATTGGAGCATGGGCAAAACTTATCAGTAGCTGCACTTTTGGGGAAAATTACTGATTCCCTTGCTGCCCCCCAGCAACCATTATCTGTCAATAGCTCTCTGGGGAGGGTGGAGACTAGTGAGCTTCCTTGACTGTAGAAGGATACTTTGCAGATGAAATGGCAGGGAGGAAGGGAGACCAACTCCCTCCCTGAATATGATGGCACAAAGCCACCTCTGTAGACAAAAATAGAGATTTGGCCCCTTTCCTCCCTTCAGGGATGATCCATGAAAAGGCAGAACTCACCCCCAAAACTTTTGGCTCCCCCTTCAGGAGATCGAGCAGAGAGTTATGAGGTCTGTAAGGAAAGGCAGTCAAGATGGTTTCATTTGGGTCTATAGTGATGACATGGCTCCTTCTTTTCTCCTCAGATGGCGGCTCCATGATTTAGCAGTAGAGCTCTGTTAGGAGAAGGAATAAAAGGACATTGCAGCCGTAATCATGATGTATTTCCTCCCTAGGGCCACATAGAGACCTCCGCAATGAGCCCGTAGCAATTGTATAGTACTAGAACCACAGAATCCCAGTCATTGAGTCATAGAATCTGAAAATTCTAGAGTGTACCAGCCTTCTCGATTCTTATAGAGGAAGCATGAAAAACAGGCTCTAGTATAAGCTTGCTTAAAAAGCATATAGTAGGCACAAAATTAGCTAGATGGTACACACAAAACAAGTGCCTGTCTGTACCTGTATTAATATATATGCACACACACATATATGTATACACACACACACACACACACATATATATATATATATATATACATATATGCACACATATATTTCACAATTCTGCTCTGATACTCTACCAAATACTAATTACAATTATACATGGTTTAGAATTTTTTCAGGCTAATCTTTTATATTCATGTGTTTATTATGATTTCAACTGCTAAATTGCTGAGGTAAGCAGTTGAATAAGGCTAAGGTCCCAATGAAGGAGCAGAAGGAGGGAGAACATGAGCAAGGAAGTCAGGACCACGAGGGGGGCAGCCACCCACGGAGACAGTGGGCTGATCTATTGAGAGCTCACCAAGGCCAGCTGGTCTGGGACTGAAAAAGCATGGGATAAAACCGGACTCACTGAACAATGGCAGACAAAGAGAGTTGCTGAGAAGCCAAGGACAATGGCACTGGGTTTTGATCCTACTGCATGTACTGGCTTTGTGGGAGCTTAGCCAGTTTGGATGCTCACCTTCCTAGACCTGGATGGAGGGAGGAGGACCTTGGACTTCCCACAGGGCAGGGAACCCTGACTGCTCTCTGAACTGGAGAGGGAAGGGGAAAGCAGTGGGGGAGGGGGAGGGAATGGGAGGCTGGGAGGAGACAGAAATTTTTTTTCAATAAAAAGATAAATAAATAAAAACTTGAAAAAAATAAAGTAAAATATGAAAAAAAAACTTTTTATTTTTTTGTGGATTTCATATCATGTATCCTGATCCCACTCATCCTCCCCTTCCCTTGATTCCATCCTCTGACCTTGCAATCTCACCCCAAAACAAAATCAAATTTTAAAGTAAAAAGAAAAAAAACAAAATCAAACAAAATCTCAGTGTGGACACTGCAGTGTGTCACAGTGTACCCTTCAGTCCACACGTCATTACTTGACTCATTGCAATGAGTCAAGGATCTGGTTCAAAGCCTCTGGCTTCTGCTACACTATTGACACTGGACCTTCATTGGGACTTCTCTTGGATATCCTTTTGTTGTCCTGTGTGGTAGAGATCCTGATGTTTTGGATCTGTAGGCCTGGCCCCTTCACATGCTCCAGCAGTCCATAGGTGAGGTGGATATTGGGGTGGGCTAACTCATAGGCCTGGTTCTGGGCCTGGGTGGTAGCTAGGTTGGTCGTTCCACCAGTTTGCCTTCATTGTCATCACCCATGCCATTATATTTGAATTAGAATGTATGAAGTGATGGTGGTAATGGCAATGATGAGGAAAAGGCAGTAAAGGAGTGCACTGCTCTTTCAGAGGGAAAGACAATAAAGGAGTGCACTGCTCTTTCAGAGGGAAAGACAATAAAGGGGTGCACTGCTCTTTCAGAGGGAAAGACAATAAAGGGGTGCACTGCTCTTTCAGAGGGAAAGACAATAAAGGGGTGCACTGCTCTTTCGGAAGACTGGAGCTCAGTTCCTAGCACTGATATCTGGTGACTCATAACTGCCTAAGGGGCATCTGACACTTCTGGCCTATGAAGCACATGCATTCATATACACGTATGTACACACGTGTGGGTGCGCGCGCGCGCACACACACACACACACACACTTGTTAAAAAATGAATCCAAGAAAAAGAGATCAGCTCTCTTTGTACTCTGCTTTCTAAGTTCTCTATAGATTTTAGTTGTCTTTTTTATTGCTTTCAGGCGTGTAGGGGAATGATCTATGCTCTCACGCATTTCCATAGTTTATTTGGAAACCTTACATATTTATTTCAGTTACACATTTGTTTCTGGGGAGCAATATTGGAAGTTCTCTTTCTTGGGTGAGCAATGTTGATTTTTTTCCAATCCAGGATTGAAGTTGCTATTGCTTTTCTACATCCAATGGCTTATTCAGTCTAGTACTTAGATGAGAGAGTATACCATGATTAATTATAGTCTTCAAATTCACATAAAAAATAAAGCCAATATGTTGGGTCTCTAACTCAATGGTAGAGTTCTTTCTTAGCATGTGCAAGGTCCTACATTTAATACCCATTCCTAATATATGTGAAGTCATTAGTAAGACAGAAATAAGTCATTGTCTTGCAACAGAGTCTCACTCTGTACCCAAACTGAACATGAACTCAGGGCAATCCTTCTGCTTCAGCCTCTCAAACCCTGGGGTTACAGGTATGAACCATCATGCCTGGCTATGGTCTATTATTATTTTTCATTGCTGGGAATCAAACCCAGGTCCTTGCACAGACTGTGACATTTCCAAAGGATGTCAGATAGTCTAGGAATGCATAATGTCTATCATTTAAGCAACAGGAATGTGCAAGCATTCCTGAGAAGGAGCCGCTCCAGCTCCATGACCTCGCCAAAGTCCATCACTATAGGACTGCACACTGTCTGTGCGCTCTCTTTGGAGAAGTTATGAAGTCTGTGGTCATTGTGGAATGTTGGGCCCTAGAATCTTGCTGACCAGACTTTGAGGAAATGATTTCCAGTGGAGATGAAGTGGCTCATAATGAAAGCACGACAGGAAAGCTTTTCTTCAGAGGTTTATTTGGATCTCCCAAGGCTGAGATTTCAGGAACGTCCAGCTGTGCTCTGCCATGAGTGCTGGCTCTCTTCCTTCTGCTGTGTTTCCTACTCATGGCCTCAAAGAACTGCTTTTGACAAGTTGATCTTGTGACTCAGGCATGAAATATGTACTCTAGAAGGATAACATTTATTAATAGATTGTAACATTTTGATTTTCAGAGCAGGGTTTAAAATGTTCTCATTTATTTCCCTCAAATACAATAATATAAGGTATTATAGTAATATTTTATAGTAGTACTTTTGCAACTTTATCACAACATGTAATTGCTACAATATTAAGCAAATTTCACTTTCCATTTTTTCATATTGTTGCTTTATAGTAACTTCGATGTTGAATCATAATTCCTTCAAATTATAACATTTTCTATTGTGTAGCATTTAGGAGAAGTGAAAACAGTTTGAAATTATAACATAAAAGTCTAAGAGGAAGCAAAGGAAAGAGCAGAAAAATAAAGAAAAGAGTAACGTCTTGGTAAAATTGCATTAGCCAGGGCTTGGCCGTGGAGACAATGTCAGTGTCCACAATAAGAGCAAGGCTGGATAAACTTTCATACTTCCCCGCATAGTTTTTATAAGTTCTGGTTCATTCATGAAATTTTGTGAGCTAACTTCTAGAACCAGCTAGTTTCATGGGGCAGGACTCTCTATCAGTGCTGCTATCATGTAGGCACTATCTTATTGTGTTGATATTTTGTTTGTGATTTAACAAATAAAATTTGCCTGAAGATCAGAGTGTGGAGCTAGCCACACTAGTTAGACATAGAGGCCAGGCAGTGGTGGCACACACCTTTAATCCCAGTACTTGAGAGTCACATGCTTTTAATCCCAACACTAGGGAGGTGGAGACAGAAAGGGATATGGCTGGGCAGAGAGAAGAATATAAGGTGGGAGGAGACAGGAGCTCAAGGCATTCAATTTGAGGATTACTAGAGACAGGATCTTGCCCTCTTAGTCTGGGATTCAGTAGAGGTAAAAAGTCTCTCTAGTGGCTGGCTCCTTTACTTCTCTGATCTTTCAGCATTTACCATAATATCTGATTCCGGGTAAATATTTAATAAGACTAATCAGGAATGTGTTGCATCTGATCACAGATGACCATTCAGTGAACACTTATTTTCATTATTAAAGTCACTTTCCATCTGATCCTTTGAGCCTGTATCATTGCAGCTCAGAGTGGGGACACAGCAGGTGTCCCAGAGATATCAAGGTACTTACCCCAGGCTTGTTGGAATAGACTTGCTTCCACCAAAAGACAGAACTGTACGCAGCTAGCAAAAACTCCATCACAGTGAAGATGAGCATCAACGCCAGCCCACTCTGAAAAGCAGCACAGGCCTGGGTGTGACCCCACACAAAGCCTTTGGGCCCTACTGAGAGGGGGTGGGGTGGGTCGGGGAGGGTTATTGAAGCCCTCAGCAATGGAGACAAGAAGGAGCAGAAACAGTGGCTTAATCCTTCTCTCTGCTTTCTCATTCAGATTTCTTAGTGATCAGAAAGAGATGAGAAGGAAGAGTGACTGGCCATTGGCTCTGCTGGTCTTCCCCATTTTGTTTGTCCTTGGTACTTTTCACTCAGCCCATTTTCAGGTGTGGATTCAGATTCACTTGTCCTGTAGGGTCTTCCCTGGGTTCCTTCAGCACCCAATTTCATGGCTCCGATTCTGAAAATTCCTCTGATAATTGTTTCTTCATAGTCTTTCTCCCCCATACTTTCCTATGAGAGCTTATTCCATGTTTCCTGTCACTTCAGGGTCTGTGTCACTCCCAATTTCTCAAAGTTGATATGATCTCATGAGATATTTCCTCAGGTGCATCAAATCTGCCTTCACTGATCTCAGCTTTTAATCGCTAAGATTTTGACATTTCTAGTCATGTTTTCTATTTATCAGCTCCCCCGGTCCTTTTTATCATACTGTCTTTGTCTCATGTTTTGGCTTTGTCCTAGTCAGGGTTTCTGTTACAGTTATAAAACACCATGACCAAAAGTGTCTTAGAGAGAAAATGGTTAATTTCAGCTTATACTTCCAGGTAGCGTCATTGAGGGAAGTCAAGGCAGGCACTCAGGGAAGGAGCCCAGAGGCAGGAGCTGAAGCAGAGGCCACGGAGGGACATTGCTTATTGGCTTGCTCAGC